AATAGCAATGTTTTTTTCTGCATAATAATCTTATGCCAATAAAAGATGTTCTGCATTAAATGTGTTTGAATAGTGAAAAATTTCAAATAAAACAGCCAGACAGGTGGTCTTTTAAAGAATGTCCCCTGATTTGATAAAAGCTAACAATAAAAATTACATTAATATTAAGACAAGGAACAAGAGATGTTTTTGAATGTAATAAGGCCAAAATTACCTTGAATTATATTGTACAAAGGTGCAGCGTTGAATGGCATCTTTTCAATTTGGCCACCACCCCATTGAAATTCATAAAAAAATAAAAATTAAAACAAGATCACCTCATCTATGTGTTCATCTGTTATAATTTATGTACTGCAGCCAAACAAAATCTAAAGTTAATAATGTGGGGGTCAAGAGCAAAAGATTTGTTATAGAATAGTTGCATCTCTCCAGAAAACAAATAATGTCAAGTTGACTCAACTAAATGTTTGTTTGTGTCATAGACAATTTATTTCCAGTTCTGTCTTCAATTCCCAATCAAATGTTAAACATGACAAGGAAAGAGGAAGCAGGACAAGGTAACAAGAAAACAGTCTGATAGAAAAATATGGTAACGCTTTAGATTACAGCCCGGAAAGTACTGTGAAATTAAAGTGATTTTACAGCGTAACAGTCCTCTCTTTATCTCCACTCTCAGATCAATGTCAGCTGAATTAAAGAAGTTTAGGGTGTCCATCGCTGTAACTCTTCTGCTGGACGTGCAGTGATAACATGTAAAGAGTTAATATCCAGACTTGGGTCTCCGTCATTTTATGTCACAAATATATCAGACATGGAGCTTCTGTAGTTTTCTGCTGATCTCTGGGATGTTTTCTTTCACATGCATATCTTCCACCTCCTGTCTCACATGCTTGAGTTTCTGCTCATAAAAACGCTTAGACTCTTTAAAACGTCTGGACTTCTGTTTCACTTCCTCTTCCAGCTCTTTGATTTTCTGCTCTTTTTCCTGGCCGGATTGTTTTAGTTGTTCAATATCCTCTTCCAGTTTTTTCTTTTCTCCCTCAAATGAGCCTGTTAGCTCTTCTATTTTCTTATTGCATTCTTCTTCCAGATCTTTTTTTTTCTCCTTCAGCATTTCTTCCACACGCTGAAACATGTCACTGGTGTAATATTTATCTTCATTCTTGCTCAACATGTCATCAACCTTATCCAGGAACTCCAAAACCTGTTCGCGATTATCGATTTTTTTGTTGTCGAACACATGATACCGTCCGCCATATGATTCTACGAGTTTGTTTAGTTCAGGTCCTGCTACACTCAGAATTTGATCGATGGGTTCGGTCAGTTCATCCCCGTGTGTGAAGAGGATGAGTGTGTGTTTATCTGCTTCTTCTCCGAATACAGTTCTGATCTTCTCCACTGAACGTCTCTCTTCTTGAGTGAACGGGCCGACCTGAATGACCAGGATGATGGCGTGAGGTCCAGGCGCCGTCATGTTTATACATTTACGGATCTCTTTCATGAATTCTCTTTCTGAGAGTGAAGTATCAAAGATCCCTGGACAATCAACCAGCTCCAGCTGATGGTCAGCCACTTCTCCAGTCTCCTTCCAGCACTCTTTAGTCACAGATGAAGCTTTTCTGGCGGCTCTGAAGGCTTTTCTGCCCAGGATTGTGTTTCCAGACGAGCTTTTCCCTGCTCCAGTCCTTCCCACCAACACCATCCTTCTCAAAGACACTGAAGAATACAGTAAACAAGAGCTTTATATGCAGAATGCAATCAATTTTAAAAGAAATATGATTTATGTGAATAAATAAATAAATTCATTCTAAAATAAATGAATGAAAATCACCAGATAATGTTTATTAAATACAGATGAATGGAGACAGTGGGTGATGTGGGCAGATACTTACTATTTGGATGTTTTAAATCAAAACTATCACTTCTTTTCTTTGTGTGAACTTCACCTGGACAGAGAAAAACAAACATCACACTGTAAGAATACGAGATCACAGTAAAATCCCTGATGTTAAATTAACACCGCTCAGTGTTTATATGGGAACTACCAGCAGGGTGTTAAAAGTAACACTGATACAGTGTTAGAGTTAATGAGATAAATAAGTGATTAATTGAGTGATAATTGAGCATTGAAGACACCTGATGATAACAAGCAGAATCACTGAAGAAACACAAGTACTACAACTGACCCTGACCGCTCCTTCTTGCCAGATCTGGGCCACAAGGAAACAAACCACAACTGAACCTTATCTGAGCTACAAAATCTATGTATATTAAATATAGAGTCTTCTTAAAAAAAAAACACACAGTTTGTTCATACTTAAGCCATTGAGAATTTGCTATGAATATTAAGAAAGTTGTAATGCTGCACTTTAAAACGATACCAAACTTGTGCCGAGGGGAAGCGCTAGTCATTGAGAAGCAAAACAGCATTTTTCTTAGAGAAAGGAAATGTGCTTCTCTTAGAAAACACACAAATAAAAATACTTTTAGATGTTTAATTGCGATGTGGATCATTGGGATTGCTAGACGAGGGCTTAATGAACTCATTTTTGTAAAAACCTCAAATTCTACCAAGATTTAATTTTTTCACTTGTTTTGCTTGTAGCTTGTAATTATCCTGTGCACATTCAGACTCATTTTTCCAGCACAGGTCACATATCTTGTTGTACTATTCATATTTTATTTAAATGTAAAACTCACTGTCTAGAGGCTGACGTTTGCTTCCTCTTGTGTCGAATAATCCTGAATTTCCCTGATCTTCACCTGTTACAAAAAAAAAAAGTATTATCATTAATGATGAAATATTGAATTGAAATATCTTATTGTGGGATTTTTAAGGTATTGCATCTCTTAATAAAATATTTTGATTTTAAATTCACAAACACTGCATTATTTTAAATAACTTGAACAGAAGTGAACTGACTCACCAAGTTGTGTGAATAATCCTCTTGATTCGGCCATCTACACACAATTGTCACTTTTGTAGTGAAGCACTTCAGACATTAATAAACACGCTTTTAAAGAGACCTACGCATTACTGTGATTGTGAAGTTGTGTTGAATCAAAAGTTGTGCTCTCATAACAACTCAGAAACTGGTTGTACTTGATATTTGGCATTCATTCCTTGCAACTCCCTGTCATATGATCCTATCAGTGTAGATCTCTGAACGGCTTGGTAAAATGCACTGTAAAAAAAATAAAATCTTTCAAAAATTGGTCAGACTATCAGCTACAGCTGCCAAAATAACAAAAACTGTAAAATAAAGTAAAATATATCATAATTTAAATAAAAGTGCAACTTTTTTTACAGAAATGTTCCTTAAATGTTCTACAGAAAACGCTGTACTAATTCAGGAAATACCTGTAAAATAACAATCAAACACCTTTAAAAAAAACATAAAAACAGTCAAATGACTGTCAGCAATGGCTGCTATATAAAAAACAGAAAATCAGTGTAAAATATCCTAATTTGAATAAAATGTAAAACACTTGTATAGATTCATTAAACGTGTTAACATAAACAGAGTTATTTCGCATATATTTCCTTAATCTTTGCTAACAAACAAATTCACTGTTAAAAATTGAATCTCTTGCAGTGAACTACATACACGATTTACCGTGAGTATACGTCACTGGCCCTGCATCAGCAACTACACACTCACTGTCTGTTAAATAAAGCAACACACATCATAACATCAGTGTACAAAAGTCCCAGATGGTCCCACAGCCAGAGATGGGCACAAATACATCAAAAAGTATTTAATTACAAATGACAAATACTTACTCATCAAATATATTCAAATAAAATACAAAATACTGCTGTGAAAAAACAAACTAACTGTAATTGGAAGATAACTTTATTCTAGAGCTGCCAACTAAAGCCAAAACAATCTGTTTCTTTAATTTCCTATGATCAGTGTAAAGCCGCTTTGGAGCAATCTACATTGATAAAAGCGCTTTATAAATGAAGATGACTTGTCTTGACTCTTGACTTAATTAATGGTCATTCTAGTCCATTATAGCAAATACTCTTCCCTAGTTGAATGTTTTGTGAATGTATAGAGTCCCATACATCTAGAACATTTTGAGCACATCAATGATAGGAACATAGGCAAAATGTCCAATCACATGACCACATTCCTTATAGTATGCTGAACAGGTTCTATCATGTCCAAAGGAGATATACAGTATTCTTTGAACAAATGTTCAGAGTGTATTACTTTACAGGCCTCAGCAAAAAAGTCAAATTAGCCTATTGTAAATACCCTAAAGTTCATGAATTTTAAAACCATTTTGCTTTAGATGGTAAGAAAACAATTCTCTGAATAAAGTAAAAATGTTTTTTGTTTGGCAGTTGTAGCTGCCTGTCATTTGACCCTTTTTTTTTACGATTTTTGATCATAATAATGCAGGAAATACCTGTGAAATAACAGTTTATTTAATGTATGATGTTTTACTTTAATGTTACAGTTTTTTAGGCTGCCGCTCATTTAACCGTTTTATCATTTCACTTTTTGCTACTGTTTAATTACAGATTATATTTGTAATTTTACATACATTTTTATGTAATATAAGAAAACAGAAAAAAACTGTATGAAAATACAATGTTCTGTATAAAAAATGTGAGTGACTGGAATTTGTCATTAATGTCACAATACCTGCATTTTTATTTTACAAATATTATTTGTAATTTGACAGTGTTTTGAGTACAATTTAAAATGAAAGAAAATGATAGTCAAAAAATCAGTTATTTTCTGTGAAATTTGGATTTTTTTTTCAGTGTACATGTAACTCAAATCTGATGAGAGTGTAGGCTATATTATTTTTTTAAAGCATTTTTCATTTATTTGTGTACATCTTTTAAAAGGAAAAATGCAGTGCAGGGCATAGTCCATTGTCCACGCACAAGTCACACTCCAGTCCAGTGGGTGGCGGTAAAACACACCCGTTTGTTTACAACCACCATTAACCTCAGAGGAAGAAGTTTAGTTTTCAGCGTGGGCTCTTCTGTTATGTGGTACTGACATAATACAAACTGTTACTAAGATACAACGATAGTCAATAAATGCCTGTAATATTCCCATCCTCCTCGTGACTAAGTTTTGAATCAAGCAGGAATATCTGGAGGAGTATCAACTGAACTGAGATCTGCTGCTGTGAAGATGGTGTTTGTTAAAGAGGAGAGTGAGGAGGACATGAGTGAACCAGAACCCTGGAGAATAAAACACGAGGAACAAGAAGGTTGGTGATTCCTCATTCATCTTTAAAGGGGTCCCATATGCCCATTTACAAAGTTTTGTTTTTTGGGTTTACGAATGTGTTTCCAAGCCTTCATTCACGGGCTATGAAAGCACTTCTAGGACGATTTCAGTGTTTTTTTCTTCTTTCCCCCCTAATGTTTATGATATATACTATTTAATCGTGATTATTTAAACTAATTAAATCCAAACAGTAATCGACACATTTTTTGCTTATATACCGTGGGCGCGGATTATTTAAATGAGAAATATTATGACTTCATAAAGCCGGGAAAATCGAGTTGTAGTCCAAACTGATTCGTTGTAGTTCTTTTAAAGGTTGTTAAATAAAATATCTGCCTTTTAAGGGAACTTGTAACGTTGCAGATATTTTTTTTATGCTCAAACAGCAACATTACAGACTGACTAAAGTTGAAAAAGCATAAAGGACCCATTCTGCTAACAAATAAACAGGGTGCGCATTCTTTAAAGTCTCCCTTAATGTAAAAACAAGTCATTAATTACAATTAAAATGTCTTAAATCAACGTTTTAAATATATTATCTTTGTTTTTACATGAGTGTAACTTAAACTCAAATATGGGATGATTGATTATAGTATTAAAATGAATAACACGTGCAAACACAATTATCAATGAACTTGATACGTGTTGCAGAAATGTTTTATCCATGCCTTTCAACTTGTGTGTGCGAAATTCAAAATTGAATGAATGTGTAGCAATTTGTAGATAGAGACATATTTGTTAATACAAAAGCTCAATTTTGTATTAATGCAGGCCAGAATTTGTGTGTGCAACAAGTAAGAACAAGTACAAATGGATGACAAATGGGGGTGAGTAAATTATCAGCAACAGTTTTTTCAGAAGTGAACTACTCCTTTAAGCGTCTTAAATGTGGAAGAACGCTTGATTATGCGTCTGTTGTCTGTTTTTAGCAGAATACTGCCATCTAGTGGTAGCAGGTTTTCTCAGACAGTGTGTGTGGATCTTTCAAAATGAAATTCTGAAATGAAATTTCTTTTTTCTTTTCAATTCTTTCAAAATGAAATTCTCAAAATCCAAATGAATCAAATAGGATCGATTCAGAAACGAGTCAATGAATGCACACGTGTCACCTCATCCACACATTCTGGCCTGCATTAATACAAAATTGAGCTTTTCTATTAAGAAATATGTCTCTATTTGTTTAAAATGCAGCACATTCGTGTAATTCTGTATTTTGCACACACAAGTTTTTTTTTTTTAATTAATATTAAGACATTATTAATGATAATAACTAAAGTTAATTTCATCTACACTTTAAATTAAGCTTAATGATTTATTGCTAACAGATTTTTTTTTTTTTTTTTTTTTTGTAGAACTGTGAGTTCTCATTTGAGGGGATGCTGCGATCAAATTTTAGTCTGGTGCCCTATGAACTTAAAATAAAACACCATATCATAATATTTGTATGTTAAGTCTATTTAATATTAAAGAATTAGTATTCCGGTTATTTACGGTATTTTAGTTATATATGGTTATACAGCGCTCCTAGTAAAAAAAGTTAATCTGGAGCCCTAAAATTTAGTGTTATGAATGTTTTTTAAATGTCGATCCCAATGCATCGTTTTCGTTTTCTACATGTTTACTAAAATCACCAACAATCAGGACTTTATCTGCAGCCAGTACTAACTCTGATAGAAAATCAGCAAATTCTTTGATAAAGTCTGTATGGCGCCTGGTAGTATCAAGCACAAAATCTCAAACATGATTTATCATTTACACTATATATTTTTACTTTAAGCACCAACACTTCAAAAAAAAATTAAAATTTAAACTAGATTTCTTAGTAATGCTGAAAATATTACTATGAATTACAGCAACACCTCCCCCTTTACCTTTCAATTGAGGTTCATATTTATAACTGTAATCTTGTGGGTTGACTCATTCAATGTAATTGTTTGTTTTAGCCAGGTTTCTGTCAAAAACAGCACATCTAGGTTATCTATAATCTTATAATTAACAATAAGTGCTTTTGAAGTAAGGGATACTGAATAAATATTGATATTTGGATATCGAATATTGATATTGGATCAAATATTCAGCAACCCAAGCTTTATCATTTGCTCATTTGTATTATATCTGTTTTTATTTGTTGAACATCAATTAAAATGTTTACCCTTAGATGGGTTTGAATTTTTTTAATGTCCTAATTCGGTGAACAGACACAGTCTCTATGATGATATCTAGGTGAAAGAGTCTCTACGTGACGGGATTTATCTGACCTCAGTGATGTGAGACAGCTGGCAGACGGTCGGTTTAGCCAGTCTGTCTGTTTCCTGACCTGAGCCCCAGATTGTCATGTTTGAACTCGAAGACTATGTGCCATATTACTATGAATTCTATATAATTTTGCGGACACCACTATGATGCCCCAAAAATGCAATTGCACATGCTTATGATGCCCTAAATTGCTGCTTCACACACTATGATGCCTCAATATGCAGTTGCACACACTAAAATGCTGTTTCACACACCTATGATGCCCCAAAATGCTGTTGCACACCCCAAAATGCTGTTGCACACCCTAAAATGCTGTTGCACATGCTTATTATGCCCCAAAATGCTGTTGCACACCCTAAAATGCTGTTGCACATGCTATTAAATGCCCCAAAAATGCTATTGCACACCCTAAAATGCTGTTGCACATGCCTATAATGCCCCAAAAATGCTATTGCACACGCTTATGATGCCCTAAAATGCTGTTGCACACACCTATGATGCCCCAAAATGCTGTTGCACATGCTTATGATGCCCTAAATTGCTGCTTCACTCTGCTATGATGCCTCAAAATGCAGTTGTACACTCTAAAATGCTGTTGCACATGCTTATAATGCCCCA